GGACTATGGTTTCCTTTTTCCACTTAGAGACATACTAGGGTGTGTAGTATTTCATACACGAGCATGAAAGCACACATAGTATAAAAACCATGTATGTCCCCACGCATAAGAGATTACCTCACTTTGTTTTCCACCCACAATGATAGACCGGTGAGTAGCACCCAGCACCCCAACAAAGCCAAACAGACAATGAAGTTCCCAGGGCCAGACCAGGGCTTTGCGCACCTCCTCCTCTACTCAGGGAGGCCAAGGGCTCACATACAGCAAAACTGCTCTGTTTCCATTATGGAGCAGATGGTGATAGAGATGAGCTGAAAAGCCCTTAAACGTGAACAGCACATGCTGAGGAACAGCGGAGGCTGCAACCGCAGGATTTATAGCCCAGAACAACCCAGGGTCAGTGACCGCAGCGTTGTATTGTTGCCTCCTCTGCTGCAGCTCAACAGCAAGGCAGATGCCAGCCACCTGACCCACTCATCCAGCTTTCCACACAACCACCAGCACCGCAGCCTCTCCACATACAGCCGAAGAGATCTGAGATTGCAACTCACAACTCTTTCTATTTTTTAGTTGCATTTAAGGGATTCTTCCTCCCAGATTTTACACGTTTCTCAAGCATAACACCTGAGCCAGCAATTACCTTCTCTTGAATTTTTAGGGAGCACTGGACAAATGGTTCAGTGAAAAACTCTGCCGCCTAGTATTACGCTATCAGAATAAACCGCCAAGCTCGCAAAAATGAGTTTGTTTCCAGAGGTGGTACGCAATACACTACCAGATGCTGTCAGTAACCATAAAGCTTTGCATACCCATGTTCAAATTTTGAATATTCATATCCTGATTTTCTTGAATCCCCAAATGTAAGGATACCCAAAAGCCACGTAAAGCATTCTGAATGACACTGCTGCAGGCTATAAGCTACCACTCAACCTCAGTGCCAAACTGATTCAAGAATTGTTCAAGAGAAGAGCGACGCAGAGATCCAAACTACACGCGCCTACCTTGTTTAATCTATCCACTAGGGGGTCAATAAAGAGGAAAAAAAAAAATCAATCATTTCAGAAATTTTAGGGCAGTTTAGGCTTCATTTGAGAAACCTGATGCTGTCTCACTGTAGTCATGGACGGGTCTGGGTGTGATCCCTGGTTTCTCTCTCACATGTATGCCACTTTTTGATGCAAGCTCAGACACACTCAGGTGACAGCACTAGTGAAAGGTCTTTCACAAAGGGGTGTCTCTCAGCTACCCCAAGAAAAGGAACACTGGAGAAACCGTGGTGCCCCGCCACCTCCATCACCCACACACTGCAGCCAACAGGGCATCTTCAGACCTCAGGACCAGCATTCGGGAAGTGCCAAAGCTCTGATCATGACCTTGATCTTTGCCCTCAGCCTTCATAAACTATTTTGAGCAAAGTCATCAGTATATTCACCTGAAAAGATGAGGGGTAGGCATACACATAAAACATACACAAGATTACCACCACTGTTCACAAATTTTAGTATGTGAACTACGTATATTATTTTAGGATTCTTGTGTTAAAGCATCTAAGTCCATTTTAAAAGTAGCTGTTTTATCAATTCATCTTGGAAACAGTGTCCATCAAGCCAAAGTAGATACTAGTGGAAGCCAATGCAAATCCCGAGCAGCTTTAACTCTCAGTGTTTTCTATGCATATATGATGTTTACAAATGTGGCTTTTTGCTTGTCAGGACTCCACCTGGAGCATATTTTCCAGGCTATAATTACAACAAGCCATTACAAATTTTCTACCATCTCCTATACTATGACAAAAATGAAAATTGGTAACCACATTCCTGTCAAAAAGGAATTCACATTTACATGTAATCATACAAACAAAACATAGATTATTAAAGGGGGGATGGGAGCAGGACACCAGGGAGCCTGATCAGCTCCTTTCATGGATCAAAATTGCTTCTGTAATAAAGAAAATGTGTACCCCCTCAAACCATACACAGTGTTCTGTTTTGCAGATCAAAAATCCTTGTTGCCATGGGAACTGCAAAAAAAGTCAGTCATGACATAGCAAGGCTGTAACAGAAACATGTCTGCTGGGAAATTACCGCTAGTTCTGGTTTTCTTATCAAAAATGCTCGTGTATTTTCAACCTGAAAATAAAATGCTTCCTCAGATCTAACTTCCATACTCTCCCCCACAATTATCTACCAAATTTCCACTAAAAATTGATGATATATATCTATCATTTATACAGAATAAGCTAAGCAAAGTACTGTTTAAAAAGATGTACTATGTACAACATAAGAATAACAGCTTGTACATTTCTTTCCCAGATATACTTGGTACAAAATGTGTACTCCTGATTTACATTGCTCAGTCTATCTGTACACAGGAAAAAGAACAGATCTTTAAAAAAAAAAAAAAAAAAAAAAAAAAAAGCACTTGATGAGAAGCACACACAAGAAAAAGAGTATTGCATAAAACAGATTACATAAAGCAATATTTACAATACAATTGTTTAAAGCAGTATTTCAAGGTTACTTATACATACAGTTTGCTTTTGTACCTGTGTTCTCACCAGGTAACAAAAATTAACGTTTGATTGCTAGAATAGAAAACCATCCCTTTTGAGAATGCTGTTGTCACTTCAAAGCAAAGTGAAAAAATCAGAGTCATGCAATTCCCACTTGAGCACAAACAGCTCCCAGAAGCGTGAATAAAACAACAACAACAACAAAAACGCTGATCAAAGCATCTATGTAATAACATGGAATTCACAATGCAATCAAACATGCCCTTTTCAGCACCCCATTATAATCTTACAGAAATGCTAGACTTATTTTTCTGTCAAGCATGTGTAATGACGTAAAACGTCTTGAGAACACTGCGCAAAAAATATTACATATAAATACTGTTAAAATTATTTTACCTCTGTGCTGGTTTGTAGCACAATGAAGTGGGGAAGAACCCTGGAGAAAACAGTTTTGCAGAACATTATCTGCAGAAATTGCTTTTGTATATAGAAGTAGTCTCACTAAATATACACATAAATTAAATACATCTTTATTTTAACATGGCAATTACTTAAACATCAGATTATAGCAAAATACTTCTAAAAAAAATCTTGTAAACTAAGTGCAAGTGTAATCTGCAGACTGGCTCATGGTTTTGGATAGTTCTGAAGAGCTATTAACTAGGAAATAAATTCTTTTTTTATCTGTTCAAACCACACTTGCTTATCAGGCTGCACATTATACAGAATATAGGACTACCAAAACCACTTAGTTTGATTAACTCTTCATTTCATGCCACACGGAGTGCAGATTTGGGTAGCTATCTGGAAACATAGTCATGCCCCCTCTCCTTCTTGTCTTGGTCTACCTAGCCTGGCACAGAACCATGCAGGTCTCATGAAGTCCTCAGATAAGCCATCAAACTGCTGAGGGCGATCAGAGCAGTGGGAGTCATCTCCAATGGATACTGAGCTCATCCAGGAAAGGCAACAGGTGTTTGTTTTTTTTCATGATAAAGCCATGCAATAAACAGGGTGGTTGAAGGATGGGGTAATACCCGCATCCTTACTACAGTTGGAAAATCTGCAAATATATTTAAACCGAGCTTAAGAAATCAAGTCATTTACAACAACAAAATGAAAGAGTTCAGTGTTTAATACTTGGTATTGCAATATTTATAATGCCGTGTATAATAAATATAATACCATGTGCAATGCAATGCAGAAAATTTATATTCACAATAGCATGGCACTATTCTTTTGATAAATTGGTGAAGCAAGAACAACTGTGGACTAACAAACCAACTAATGTAACTAATCCAACTGATATAATACCACAAAGTATGCTACAGTAACAGTATACTACAGTAACAGTAAACAATTCTAAAAAAGGAAAATAAAACAGGAAAATATTTAATATTCTAGATTTTATTTGTGTATATCAGTCCTTCACTTAAAGCTGTACCTATTTGATGAGTCACTATTTCAGTAATAAGGATGCTCGGCATTTGTCAGATTCATACAGACATTAGGCAGACATCTTCACTGCCAGGGTCATCAACCCTCCCCCTTCATCAATTCATTGTTCCACTAAATTAGTCACTACCAACCACCTGTAAGGACGCCCTTATTTACATTTCACTATTAATAAATAAATAAAAAAAGAAGCCACGGCAAGGTTCAGCCCCATTTACTCTCCTCTCCATCTTGCACAAACAGATCGATGGGTTACATCAGCGCGGTGGTTACAGGGTAACATCTGCCTGTGGCTGGGTGCTGCTACTCCTGCTACTGGATTGCCAGCGTCACAAGCACAAAACCAGGCTGTGTTCAGATCTGTATCCTCTTTACAAGGCTTTTTGCTTTTAAATTACACCATTCTACAATAGCGGACATGTGTTATCACAATACAATTACAATATCCTGCAGCTGTTATTGCTTATTTCCCCCAGCTATTGCTATGCAATCACGAAGGCCGGAAATTATTTAATATTGTCATTAGAAGGACCTGTCAGAATCCAAAATCTAAACAGTTAGGCATAAGACAGCAATAAATTCACAATAACATAAAACTGCAAGCTGTAAACACTCATCGCTGAATCTCATAAATAAGGGCTCCTGTAGCATGCGATGACAGCCGGTATCTGACTGCTTTATGTTCCTGAAAGTGCCTGAGACCAAGCCCACTTCACTCAAATTGCAGACAGATTTCCCTAATGCCAACCCACTTCACAACACACACAGGTGAAAGCTGTGTTTCTCTCAGGGTAGATGGAGTAAATGGATCTGAAGAGCTACACTTAAGATCCCTAGGAACATTTTAAAATAAAGGATGTTTAGTTATGGAGATAAACAGAAACCATCTCTGAAGGTCTCTGTTTTTTAATCTATTTCTATCTTGCGCAAACAATAGCTGCAATTTTTAGTGACTTGTCTTCAACTAGTGAGGTACGCTGCCGAGCTAGCCTGAACCACGCTTCACAGGACAAACACCACAAAGGTAAAATACCGAAACAAATCATCAGCCAGGAGCAGGCGTCCAGGACGAGCAGACCCCTCCTTGCAGCCAGGCTTTAGAGCAGCGTTTCAGAGCCCTCAGCTCTTGGAGCTTGCTGCCCTCCCACAAGAGCAGCGCAGAAGCAGCCCGGGAGCCACCACCTGCGCTCACGTACCTTTCTTCACTCGCCCCAGCGCCTGCCAGAGTAACCACGCGGCAACGCTCCAGCTCCTCGCAGCGTTACGCCTCCCACACGCCTGATTCCAAGGTGCCAGTCTCCAGCCGCCGCACTGACGAGACAAAGGCGGCCAACTCGGACTTCGCAGCCGTGCGGGGCGGCGCTCGGCGCACAGCGGCACGGAGCGGTGCCAGAGCCGCCGGGCACGGCACGGCACGGCACGGCACAGCACGGCACGGCACGGCACCACCCGGCTCGGCTCGGCTCCTCCAGCCCGCTCCCCCCGCCGCGCCTCGCCCCACCTCACGCCGGTGCCAGTGCCGCTGCCGGCCGTTGGGCTCGCGCCGCTTCGCGCCTCCAGCACGCGCCGCCCTGGCAGGGCCGTTGGGCTCGAGACGCCGCTGCCAGAGCCGGGGCCGCCCCCGGACGTGTCGCACGCGCCTCCCCTCAGCCCGGCCCCGCCCGGCTCCCCCGCGCCTCCTCACCTGCCCCGGGCGGCCGCAGGCGGGTGCCGAGGCCCCGCTGCCCGCCCGCCTCAGCGCCGTGCCCGAGCCGGGAGGGCTGAGGAGCGGCGGCGGGGCAGAGGGACCAGCCTCTGGGCAAGGGGGAGCTGGAGCAACAGCACGCCTGCCTGCTCCGAGCGCGCTGCTGGTGCTGGCGCTAGGCTCCTGGTGCGTGCAAGTCACTGCAGGAAGCACGGATCGGTTCTTGAATGGTATCCTCTATACAGACGTGTGTGTATCTGCTTATTTTTCACGGCTCTCCTGCCACAACACCAACGAACCGGTCGTAACGTTGGTGCTTCGGTGATGGGATTTCAGGCTTTCACATTCCTTCCTTTCTTAGACCCTATCCTGAGCACTGAGGTTTTCCTGGCAGAGGGGAAAATCTAATTGCAACACCGCGGCCTAATAGCTCGCTACAGTAGCGCTGCGCCACTGATGTGTGGAATTAAAAATCTCAACAAACCATTAGTGATTGAAAGCTGTAAGAGTCGAGATGAAAGAAGCCGTCCTCCTGCTCCATTCGGGGCAAAGCCCATCCAGAAGTTTTTGCCCTGATCTCGGGTCCACACTCAGGGGTAAGACACGTCACGTACGTGATCAGGCATGTGCAGTTGTCCTGATGTGCCACAGAGATGTACACAAGTTCAGGCTGGGATCACAAGACAAAGGCTCCTTCTTGTGCCCAGAGGAGCAACAAGGTTGAGATTTTGCCTAGTTTTTAATTTGTTCAAGATGGTACTTGAAATTTACAACAGAGAATTTTTATTTATTTATTTATTTTAAATAGCACTCAACTGTGACTGCAACCTAAAAATTTGGCTCCCCTACTTTGTGTTGCACATGCTATTTTTTTTAAGTCCATGTCTTACAGGATCACAGATAACTGCAAGAGTGTAAATGAACTCTTGCTCATTTTAATACAGTGAGAGGATAGCCATATCTTGTAATTAAATATATATACATACATACATATATATGTATGTATGTATATATACACACATTTTACAGAAAACTGCTTTGTTTCTGTATAGGAAGCACAGGAAGCTTTCCTGGGAGAGAAGAAATACTTTGATACATACATCCAGACATCTCATAAGGTTGAGATACAATTAGGAACTTTGCACGACCAGACTGACACAACAAATACTCATATTCCTTCCCCCAAAATGCAATTTTTTTCTCAGTTCCACTGCCACCACACTTGCAATGTGTGTTCTACACCTGTCTTCTGCATTCTCATACCAGCACTTCCACAGGTACATGCACAACACTTAGTGCATATGCCAGCTCCTTTGCAGTGAAAAGCACTGTGTATAAATTCACCACATAAAATTAATATTATTGTATTTTGAAATTGTAATTGCATTCAGCACGCTAAGATTATTTTTTAAGGTATGAATTTGATGCTTTAATAAAAGTTCCAGCAAAGTTTCTGCATGTTTCCACACCCTAATGCCTTAAAGTAAAATAATGAATTATAAATATTTTACAAATTATGTAGATAACAAAATTTTCCTTACAACACACACAAAGCGATTTCTAAAGTAAAATATCATTGAAATTATACATACTGTTCTGTAGCCTTGGTAGCCAGTTTCTTTAACATCTGATTTTCTAGTTGTCTCAGAATACCTGATATGAAAAAGGGTTTTAGGTATCGTGTACATAAATGTTATTCTACTCTATAATAGTTTTTAATAGGATTAATAACCTGATGAGAGTAAATGGAAATCATAGTAAAGATCTTCCTCAAAGCGTACAGCTTCAATATTTGACCTTTCACAATTTTATTATTGAGTTTTAGTCACTATTCCCTACTTCTAACATTTTATATATTCACATTTTATTGTTATAGCACTTCTTGGAGCCAATAGTTTTTAGTGATGAAAACAAAGACAGAACAATTGAATACAATAAAAAATGAAGTCTTTATTCTTTTGGCTCAACTGTAATGTGGTTTACTGGTCTTTATGGTAATAGCATTTTCCTGCATGCAGTTCACCGACACACAAGTCAATATTTTTTGTAAAAGGAGGAGTCAACATCAAATTTTTGCTTGTGTAAGAAACACAAAATGTCCTGATGTGATTAATTATACAAGTTTGTTATTTAATCCCTGTGGGAAAAAAAAAAAAAAAAAGGAAAAAAAAACATCGTGGATCCCATATTATATTTAGAACAGTTCTAGTGCAGCATGAATCAACAAGAATAAGAATAGTCTATGTAAACAAACACTGGTAAAGATTTTATGAATAAAAAGACTACCTTGAAACTTCTGATGCAGGCAGTGCTAGAATTTTAAACAAATCTTCCCCACCACATTTCAATTACAAGTTATATCTATTTGGAAGCAAGTGCATTTTGGACTCAGTTTGAAATGTATTTCACATTAAAATGTGTGCAAAAATACAGTACTAATAAAAAAGCAGAAACCTAAAGCTACCCCATTCTCTCCTTTGTTTCTTATTTTGTGAAGTTCTTGAATTAAAAAGTGCTATGGATAGAAAGTAATAAAAGTGACAGTGACATCAACCTGAAGATAATTCTCATTTCTTATTTTATGTACAAAACGCTGAAAAATAAAATAAAATGATATTTTTACAATATTTATATTTTCTTAGAAAATTCTATCCATGTATTTTCAACAGATTGAGCAGTTTGCAACAAATCCTGTACAGTCTGACTATACACCGTACAGTATTCACTTAAAATTTTAGAATGCAAAGCAAGAAGCTCTTCAATAGCTGCAAACTATTGCTTGATGTCATGAAAGAATGATGACTGATTGAACAATTTGTTTCACTTAACCACTGAGATATGGCTTCCCATATTAGACTTTTAACAGTGGAAGGAGTAAAAATTACAGCAGCAAAGGCAAGATAAACATGCATCAGTGATAGCTTCCAAACTATCTATAATGGTACAGAATACTTTATATTAGCTGTTAAAAGCTTGCAAACTACACTTATTGTGGTACATATTTGATGCAATAAATATTGTGCACAGGTCATTATTTGTTTGCTCAAACATGCACCACAGGATAAAATAACTATTTACATAGACGGTACTTTTTTAATCAACACATATGATGTCAACCTTGCTGAGAGCAGAAGATGGCTAAACAATACTGCAGGGTGAAGCAGAACAACTTCATAATTCTTAAGTTTTGTGTTTGTTTGTTTTTGGTAAATTAAATTTCCCAAGTTCAGGTAAGCTATTTTCCACAGAAGAATACTTAAAAATGGACTTCATGTCCCTCACTCAATTTTTTTATGCAGAGTTCATTCAACTACAGTTAAATGACTTATGAAAAAATAAAACATCTGTTCTATTATTGTAGACTCTATGGGACTTTACAGGCACATTAAAATTTATCTGGATGAGATACTAGATGGATACTGTTATTAAGCACCTCAAAATATAGAGCCACCCTGAAACATGGAAGTAGTCAGACTCTGCTGCTTTGTGCGACGTCATGTTTTTCCATGCATGAACTACAAGTGCAGCATGCCTTCATGCAAATCACTTCTGTCTGTACATTATAGAGAATCCGAGAGTAGAACACCTGGTTCTCATAACCCCTTCCCCAACATAAAACCCATTTACAAAAATAGTCACATATAATAGTAAACAACCTGTGAATTAAAAAATGATAAGTTCACCAACACTGATTTTTGTAAAAATATGGCAAATGTGGCTGTTGAAATGCAAACAGTGGATACAATTTTTATACTGAGTGTTTCATGTTAAACACAGAGATTCATAGGTTCGCACCTTTTTTTTTTTTTACCGATCCCTACAGTCTGATTGGCCATTTTATCTTCTCTTCAGCAGTGTCAGCTGGTAATAAAAACAACAACCTCCTGTCAAGATGTTACCCTGTTTTACAGAGTTGCAGTTTGATGACGAGGGGTCACTGTCTTGTTATAGGCACTGACCTTTTATATATATATATATAATTATATATATATTTATATATGTAAAAACTGACAGTTTGGCATGTTCCTCCTACAGGAGTCCTGTTGACACAAATACATACTTTCTCAGGCTGTAAACAGTTTATCACAGAATTCTGTGTTACTTTTTACTTTCCCTGCTGTCTTTACCTTTATCTTCTTTTTCTGATTTGTCTTTTTCATATTTATCCTTGTCTGGCTTTGTTACACTGTCATAGGATGGTGGGGAGGTTGTGGATGGGGTCATATCTGTTTTCTCTGGAGTGGAGTTCTCATTTAGTTTATCCATAATCATATCTTCTTTTGTGGGCAGATCATCCTCATCTTTACCTTTATCCTGATTAAATATACATGAAACTTTTTTGACTTTTTGCCTTAAAAGATGACGCCTAAAAGCACGTTGAATAACGACAGCAGATACCTCCTCCTGTTTCCGCTTTAATGTGGTTGTGATTGGTTCATAGGAGACTTTAGAAGGATTGGCTGCCATAAAACGGTCTTCCAT